CCCTAGCGACAGTAGGTTTGAAGAATTTCCGTAGGTCCGCCGGTCTTCCAATGATGACTCCGATGACGGTGGAAATTTGTTTGTAAAGTTTCCCATTGCGAGAACTAAGTAAAAAGTCACTGTATGTGGGTTAATCAGTACCTAACAGTTATATAAATATTGAAAGAGTTTCAATACCTGTAGAGGAACTCGGTGGTAAATTGGGTTGGATATCAAGAAAGGTGTAACTGGTAGATCCGTGAGAATCAGATCAGAAGAAGACAAAAAAAAGTGAGAATGGCCTCCTTTTATGTTGTAAACTGGCCAATTCTGGCAGCTGCACACATCCGAGAGGCTTCTATGTATTAGCGGCTAGGGTATACAAAAATAGCCATCGAGGTACTAGGTATGGAAGGGGTTGTTTTAGGTTGTATACTTTCTAGGGTCTAATAAGACATTTATTGGCACTTGAATTCCATATATATCACATCCTACATTGGGTTTAAGACCAATGATATCTTAGAAACAAACAATTGTTGTATCCGGCCCCAATACAACCAAATGCTAACATTATCTGTGACATAAATCTATGCGTTTTCCATAGGTGGGCCAGTTTAAGCGCCGGCCCCCATTAATTTATTTTTGGTATTATGCAGCCAGCCTTGCATCAGCTACAGAGTACTCCGTACTGCGGGGGAGTTGCGACATGCAGCATTGGCTAATGCCTTGAGCCAATAACTCCTTAGGGTAGTAACATAGCTTCACACTTTCAAGGCAGTCATTTTGGTAGTTATGAAATATTCCGTGTAAAGGGTGAAAATAAGTATTCAGATATACAGGACAGCTGATGGTTATGCTTCCTTCTGGTATATATAATATTAATAAAGAGTTTTGTTGGCTAGAAGGAAAAGTAACTAGCTGGTTGCTAACTATTCTTGAAAAAGATTGACTTTAACCTCCGGATTACATCGACCCAATCAAAGAAACTGACCAGTCATGACCTGTTTTTTACCGCCATTATTAAGCAATAGAAAGCTAGAATCAAACTTTAACTAAAGAGCTCATCTGTGATCATAAAAGCATCCTCCTATCATCTCACATTGACCATAAGACGGAACACATAGCAACCATCATGCTTCCTGCCGGAAGAACAGTGCTTGTGCACAATTTTCGCTTTAATTACCTTCTATCCTACACGCTGACCTGGAAGCACTCCCTATATCCAAAACTGCCGCGACAGCTTGTAGCTGCTCCAGTGTTTGCATCAAAACGACACACCTCGACAATGATATCTGAACGCGACCTGTTCGCATACACCTCTGGCCGTTACCTTTATAATGAGGAAATCCGACTTGCTGAAAGATATATCGAGTTCGATGTTGACGCATTGAAAAGGATCGCTGCGAAAGCTGTGGACCGTAACTCAGCTACAAGTATCAGGAAGCTTGCAGAAGGTGGTTTTAATAGGGTCTTTCTTCTGACGATGAATGACGGGTTTGAAGTCATTGTTAAAATACCGTACTTATTAGCTGTCCCACCAAAGCTCACCACCGAGAGTGAAGTTGCTACTTTGGACTTCTTACGTGAAAATGGCATCCCTGTTCCCAAGGTATATGCTTGGTCTTCGGACAAAGACAATGAAGTTGGTACAGAGTATATTATCATGGAAAAAGCTACTGGGAAACCATTGACGGACCGTTGGTTTGATTTGACGCCCAAGGAGATGTTGAAGCTGGTTACCAGCTATGTGGATATCGAGAAGAAGCTTTTCTCCTTCCCATTTGGAGCCCATGGAAGCTTATATTACAAAGATGCATTGCCACGGAATCTCCAGGCTAGTTTATACGCATCTGGGCAATCAGGAGGGGATAGCCGCTTTTGCATTGGGCCCATCACGGACTACATGTTCTGGCGTGGACGACGCGCAGCGTTCGATTTGGATCGAGGGCCTTGTTGGTATCTCCTACCGCAGACAATATAGTCGCAATGCTAATTATGTATAGGGGGGGATCACTGCCAGTACCTGCAAAGTATTGGCCAACGAGAGCTAGAATGGACTCAAAAGTTTGGAAAACCTATGATGAATGATTTCCCTCATAATGCTATAGAAGGAATACCACGGGAAATACCTCAGGGCATCTACATCGACTTACTTAAAAAATATCTATCGCTAGCTCCATATATTTTGCCGCAAGATCCCGCAGATCCATTGAATCGCCCAACATTACGACACCCGGGTATGTCGTACCATGCCTTTTTGTTTAACGCCAGAGCTAACAAAACTAGATCTTAACCCAAGTAACATATTTGTGTCCGAGGAAGGTGAAATAACCTGTCTAATTGACTGGCAGTATACTACGATTCTGCCGCTGCTCCTGGTAGCAGGGAATCCCCCGATGTTTGACAACCCTGATTCTGAGCCACCAAAGGACCTGAGGCAACCATCTCTGCCACCAGACTATGGTACCTTGAGCGCAGAGGAAAAATCACACGCCGACGAGCTCCATCGACGAAGGATGCTTTTCTGGTTATACATGGTATTTAACGGAAGGGACAACAAGCCTCATCTGAAGGCCATTCAATATCCGTTACTAATGCCTCGGCAGCATCTAGCTGATAGAGCAGGACGGCAATGGACTGGAAATTTTATCACCTTGAAAGGCGCAATCCTCAGAGTGGTCCTCAACTGGAATGTAATTCTAGGAAAGCGGGCTGGAACCGTTGAATGCCCCGTCCAGTTCACGAAGGAGGAGGAAGAAGAGTTTTTTGCTCTCGAGGAGCAGTGGTTCCAATTTAATATATTAACAGAGCATTGGCACTCAAAGCTCGACCATTTGGGCCAGGACGGTTGGGTGAGAAATGAATCGTATGACAAAGTTGCTGCTTTGAACAAGGAATTCAAAGAAGAATGGCTGGCTAGGGGAGAGGACGATGATGACCGGTTTCTTGTTGAAAAGGGCTGGCCATTCCAAGATCATGATGAGACTGACTAGAGACTTGATTGTTAATACTTGAACAGATAGAGCCCTGTGGTATTTGTAGTTGGTTTTCCGTTACCCGACAGTCTTTTGGTGCGGAAATATAAGGCAGTTCTGCTTGTAATTGTCCAATCAGCTACTTACCAGAGGAAAGTTGTATGTTGTAGTTGGTCTTTCACTAGCGGTATTGTTTAGGAGAATGGGTTTTAATACTGGCCCAGGTAGGCTGCATTGTAATCTGCATATGCATGCACAACCTATCGTTTGAGGCTGTGCTATCTAGTGGCCAATGTTGTTGTTGTTGCTGTTGCTTCTGCTCTTTTCGAGATGTTGGAAAAAGGTGATTATGTCATCCATCCTTATCACCGAACTTTATCCGGCAGGCCCCGCCGTTGAGCCTCGGCAAGTTCGGATAACATTTGATATCAACCACACTGCTTTACCGCCAGAAAGACGTTTAATATATATATACTCTATATGCTGTTCCCGATACATGGATAGAGATATTCAATTCGCATTTTCACAGTCAGAACATTTCAGAGACCGGTCTCGCCAATTCGATCGCATCGACTTTGAGGTGGGAACTGCTCTACGTCAAGGGGATAGCTACATGTAGGTATACACCAGCTATATATTTAAGATATATTCTTCAATTTTCGTCAGGTGTCCATTACCAAGGCAATTGACATTGAACTAGCTGTAAAGCACCGGTTTCAAGGCCTTTACCCAATATCATATCTAAAAGTAAGCTTGATATCAGAAACCAAAGCTGAGGAGTTTCCAACTCCGTTTGCCGCGTTTTAGAGCCGACTATAATTATACGTACATATATATATACCCTGAATATGCCGATCTTGTTCGCTTACACTGCTTCATAGGAATCAATTTCAGCCGGTATACCCCTATATATAATAAGGAGTATACGCCATCACCTTGGAATTTGGAATGAGTTTCCTCAGAAAAGTTCGCAATAATGCATGCAATCACAATGATAAGCGAGGACGGCAAGTTTGGGAAACCTGGCCAAGTCTATTACCCACTATCTCTCCGCTCAGTACCGATACCGTCACCTAAGGGGAGTGAACTGCTCATCAAACTTAGCGCCGCCTCACTTAATCATCGCGACCTCTTTCTCCGTAAACATCTATATCCAGGGGCCTGTTTTGAAACTCCCATATTGAGCGATGGAGTCGGTGTTGTGGCTTCGACGGGACCGGAAGTGCCCCATGCTCAATCCTGGATGAACAAACGGGTTGTCCTGAACCCTGCAACAGGTTGGAAAGATGCTCCCGAGGGGCCCGAGACCGCCACTGGATTCAAACTTATGGGTGGTACGAGTCTATACGATAAAGGAACGCTACAGGAATACATCACGCTAGATGTGAGTGAAGTTGAAGAAGCACCAGAGCATCTATCCGATGCTGAAGCAGCGGCTCTGCCGTTAGCCGGGCTAACTGCCTGGAGAGCACTCGTGACCAAGGCCGGTGAAGCCAATTCAAGAACCGGAGCTGCCATCTTGGTTACCGGTATTGGTGGAGGAGTGGCGCTGATGGCATTGCGGTTTGCGGCGGCCAGGGGGGCAGATGTATATGTAACAAGCTCCAGCGAAGAGAAGATTAAACATGCCATCGAACTGGGTGCTCGTGGCGGAGTGAACTATAAGGAGGCCGGATGGGAGAAGAAGCTGAAGGGCATGTTACCAGACGGGAAGGTTGAATTTGATGCTATTATCGATGGCGCCGGCGGAGAGGTGGTTGAAAAAGGGGTGAAGTTGCTCAAGGTGCGTTTTTTTATATATCCACTTTATTCTACGGGAAAAAGCCCACACTATCATTCTGCCTTGCCCTTATCGCTACACGCCTGTTCCTGTTACTGTTTCCGCGCCTTCTTTCTATATCATGACTTGATAATATATAAACACGCCCCGAAAGTCTAAACATTGTGGTCAACCGCGGAGTGGACATAGCACCATAGCGCGGTGGCCGGCCTTCTCTGCCCCTCTGATAGGCGGATGTCGACGTTATTCTATCGAGTGGCTCTATATAAGCTTCAATTAAGGCCCGTTGCTAACGTTTCACGTTTCACGCTCCCCTTTTAGGACGGTGGAATAATCTCCATATACGGAATGACGGTTGGCCCGAAGATGACATGGTTGATGCAAGCTGTGATTAAAAACATTGACCTCAGGGGCACCACGATGGGTTCAAGAAAGGAGTTCAAAGACATGGTGGACTTCGTCAAAGAGCATAAAATTAAGCCACTTGTGTGGAAGGTTGTCCAGGGTATCGACAACCTGGATGCGATCAACGGCTTGTTCGATGACATGCAAAAGGGGGACCAGTTTGGTAAACTGGTGATCGAATTCGGTGACTCGAACGGGAGCAAGCTGTAACGATGAAAACGACAACCGGCGCTTCCGTGTTAATAAAAAAAGGGGGAGGAAATGTGATAGTCAGTAGCACCAGAGCTAGTGAGCAAAAAACAATCACCAACCATAGTTAACTGCGGCTATAAGAGAGCAATTAATTCATAGATTTGATTTTGAATTTCCACACACCCCTTTCCCACAGTTTTTCTTTTTTAATCGGCCAGCAAATTTTACTGTTCTAGCCCCCCCAGAAATCACAAAAGCAAGTTGCAGGACGCGTTTGCCTCCGCGCGTGGAGAAAAGCTCTGAAATGAAACGCAATATCAAGGACGCTCTATAGGCAAGGGATAGCTTTAGCTTGGCCCGCCCCAACGTTGTCTGCGATTTTCTGCTCCGACTTCACACTTACACGCCGCATAATCAGTAATGACAATCAATAATCTCCGAACATGCTAATTTACTATTCTCTTCGGTATACGAGGAGCTAAGACCCTTCGCTTTCGCAATATCAAACGGCAAAGATACCGTCCGTGCGGCGAGGAGGTTAATTATGTGTGAACTCGCCCGAATGAAGCTGGGTGAAGCCTGCGCTGTGTCCACCCACGGCCCCTTTAACCCGTCTCTTTCATTTAATTTATTTCTTCCATTGCACAATGCAAGAGAGAGAGGCAGATCGCTGGATGTTTGATACGCCGAAAGCAGATCTTGACGGGGGATGAAAGAACGGACCCGCGAACTGCATGAGACGCAAGATCTGTGTAGATCATGGACGGGGAGCCGGAGCTGGGAACTGGAACTGGAACTGGAGCTGTCAGAGCTTGTTGCTCAAAGCTTGACAAATTACGGACGGATATTTCGTTTGTGTGTGCGCGTGCCCTTTTTCTCCTTCGCCGCAGTGTCAGAAAGCAGGGAGCCGAAAGGCGTTGGAGTTGATACATAGGTATGCATCCCTGAATATCCTATGGGGACAGGAGTATGGAGTACCGACGGGAAGGTCGTGGAGCGAACGATGCAGCGCATCGCACGGCTTGCGCCCCCCAATCGTCTGGCGCAGAGCAGAACAGGAGGAGCTGCAAAGTCCGTAAATGTGGATGTGACCTGCAAGGTCATCGAGTATCCGTCCGGCCAGGGTCATCTTATCATGCACTCCATTAACCTCGGATACCTACAACCTTGCGGCCCATTCTTCACCTCCGAGGGAGATCATAATCGCGCACTTAAGCGAACGGAACGGGGAGGGGGTCACAACCGCATTGATTAATTACAAGGGCCAGGGACTTTTTGGGAAAAGCAGCCCTTTTTCCCGGACATGTCTGCTCTGCTCATATTTTGGTTCGGTACTGGCTGGGCCATCTTAGACTTGGCGTTAAGTAACGGAAAGGGACAACGCCCGTTTCAGCAAGTGTGTTATGGTTTTGGTTCTGATCTTCTCCGAGGGACACAGGACTCTCATACCCCCCTTTCCTTCCCCTCTCTTCCAGCCCTGGCAAAGGGTATACAGTATGGTCGTAAAGGAGAAAGGAGTTCGCAGGGTACTCCGTACAGCTGGCTGACTTGAAGATGAAACGCCAATTTCCAGGAGAACAAGGGGAATCCACAGGGTATGGGGGAGAAGGAGAAGGATACAGCGAAAAAGATGCATGAGATTGATATGTGGAAGGGCGCTACGTACCGCTGACTATGTGCATCTTGTCTGAGTATTGTCATGTCAAGGCAGTTACATACCTATACGGAGGGAGGCAGTGAAGAAAGGATGCGCTTACACCGCCTGGTACAGGTCCAAAAAGAGAGGATCAGAAACGGGATGATTAATCTAACTGCTCCTTACAGCCCAAAGAAGGGAAGGAGGAGGAGGATGAAATAAGGTCCGAGTTTCATACTCAGAACCCGAAAAGGAATACACAACATCTTCTCCCGACCACGTTGCACAACAGAACGTTCTATCATCCCTTTAAACCTCGCATCGGCCCTTGGCCAGGCTAGTACGTGAGGTAGGATACTTATATATAGAAAAGATGTCTGACCTTCACGCGGCAGTCCTAAATCCTGCGTGGATGACAAAAGTAAACGATAGGCTACCACAGCTGTTGAAGGATATGGCCATAGGGAAAAAAGCCCACAATGGCATCATAGGCCCGTATCCTGCGCCTGTTGGCCTGATAAAGAGGGAGAGCAAAGAAGAAAAAAAAAAGCCAAAAATGCTACTTACTCTAGTGGTTCATCGAAGGGTTCCATCCGATGTTTAGAGTTGGACTACCCGAACAAGCGAGGGTGAAGGATAGTGTGGCCATCTCCAACTCAGTCTTAGCCAGGGCTGTGCAAAGCTGTATATTTTTTTGTGCTTGTCCTTTTCCCTCTACATGCTTGGTTTTGGTTGGATGAAAAAAAAGATGCGGCTAAAAATAGCAACCACTGCAAGCTAAAAACTAAAAATAGGGTATTAGGTAATCACTCATCCAGTCGAGGAACCCGAACTATGCAGAACCAGCAACCAGCGACGTGGGAGCATTATTACCAGGCTAACGTTGGGAGAACGAAGTGATGGATGGCGATAGAGCTGATCTGGGCTAGAGAGGAGTCATAGCAGATGGCATCGCAGGGCGCATGGGAGTTATGTCAGCAGGGGAGTTGTAATAGTTATGCCGGATTCTACTTTTTTTTATGTACGATGCATGTACGACGCCGACGCGATCACACTGTAACGGTCGGCTACCACTCTATATGTACAGCATGCAGAAGTGTATAAGGGATTCCGCACACATACCCGGCAGCCAGTAGCGAGCCACGGAGATTTAAAAAAAAAAAAGAAGAAGCCAGCAGATGATAGACACTCTGTTGCATGCATGTTGATTATCCTGATGGATCGGATACAGGTTGCCCTGTGGTGGCTGGACCTTCGACCTCGTCTTCTTCCTGTTACTTCTGCTCGGGATGTTAGACGGTCTGAATGTGGTGGTGGTGGATACATGCACGAAATGCTCCATGCACCCAGCAGACACCATGATATCCAGCAGGGATCGAGGAGAAAGCCACCACGCTGGTGATCCCTGGGAGAGGAAAACGGCTGTTCATCGACACCTCGCAGCCCATCCTATCCCATCCGGCTTCCGTGGTCTGCCCACACCCACACACACCCCCGTCTGGTCCGTACGGAGTACTTACTTACATAGTACTGTGCAGATATACACACACACAGACACACACCTTGCTCCGAATATAACTTTCCTGCTCTTATAGATATACAAGTAAGTCAAAAAGTGGAAAGAAAAAGACGAAACGCCGGCGGTATTACTAGCGTGCAACCGTGAGCGTGGGTAAAATACCAATACAGCCGTGACGAGGGAAAGACGCCCTCTGATTGGTGGAACGACGGCCTCATGTGACCTTACTCGTCATCTGCCTGCCTCAAACTTACGGTATCGCGCGTATTGGCTTGTACCGGACAGGGCAGGTGCACGGCGGAGGACCCACTAATCACCGCTTCGGGAAGGGAGCATGTCGCCTGGTGGATCCACGCGCTAGTCCTGATCAGGCGTCGCGGGGGAGCCGGCGCCGGTAAGTTTGGTAACTTTCGTCACGCTGATACCAAACGAACGACCGTCTTTTTGGCTTTCTTATCACGCTTAAAACAACTTCCTTCTCCTCCTCCTTGGACGTCCTTTTTCTTCTTCCTCTTCTACTTCTTCCTTGCTCTTTGATATCTCACATCTTCACCGTCGTTTTTTCCCTCGTTTTTTTTACTCTCTCGTCTGCTCCCACACAAACATAACAGCCAACACTCACATTCGCTCTTCTCACGAAGTTACGCTCGCTACCCGGTTGTCCTCATTGTTGTCCCTTGTTTTTTGTGCCTTGTTCCAGCTGTCCAAAGAAAAAAAAAAGAAGAAAGAATAAAAACACCTGCTCCCCCTCTCCTCCAGCGTCGCCCTTAATTACTTCGTCTTTTCTCGTCGTCGTTAATACTGTTTTGGTCGATACTTATAATCTATCGTTAATATCTGTCGCAACCGATTCCGCTGGGTAGCCTTGCTTACCATACGATCGCTCCCGAAAAAGACACGCTCCAAAGAGAAGAGAACGAAAGATATATATACGTTTATATATAATTGCAAGTGAAGGAAGATCACAGACGAATCATTGAACGTCCTAGTATACGTCGTTGCAATCGGGCATCGGCACCATACAGCTATCAGGCCACCCCCCCCCCCCCCCCCCCATCTGGCTGAAATATCACACACCAACAACACATCGTCACAGCCGTTGCTGTTCGGAGCAGACTGGATTCCGCACATAACGGTATTCATGTGAAGAGCAGGACCTTGAACTAGCCAGCATATAACCAAGGTCAGTAGACTGTCCGTCCCGGACTTATATATATCTTCCTTTGTTGGGGCTTCCCGGTCTTACTCTCATTTTTTTTATCTCCGTGTCTTGGTCCGTTGGCTAACTCAGTCAACAGATTTCCTAGTGTTGCAGCACTTGTTAAATTTATCGGAACGACGGTGGCATTTTAAGTCATCTTGATCTTTTCCTTTATTCTCTCGGTGGGTTCCTATCAGTCTACTGCACCTACCCGATACCCCTACCAAATGAGTCTTTTTTTTGCTTCTTCTCGTCGTTCGCCCTTTTTCCCCAAACCACTACCCATGCTAATCATAAAACAGCTTAGTTATTGCTTGATTTCTTTTATTTTTCTTTCACGGCAGATCTGATCTACCGCTAGTTGCTCAAACAAGTTTCGTCAAGGTCCCTGCCGACAAACGCCTGAAAGGAAATCCAGATCAGACATCTATTCGATCTCAACATTCACCTTGTTCCGTGCAACCCTTCCCGTCTTATTGAACGAACCAAGCCTACGAACTCCGGTTCCAGCCAATTTTATTTTTCATTCGTTCGCCTTTGATCGGAAGATTTTTTTTTTCAATGATTTTTTAATTCTAAAAAATCACCCACGTCACTCGTTTATTGTTTCGGAGAACTGCGTACCTGCGTATCTTTCTTACCAGATACATAGCTCTTCTTGATTTTTGCATTTTTGAGATCTAGTCTCAGTCACTCGCTTTTAAACCAAACCGCGTTCCCGCTGCATAATCTCTGCAATACCGCCAATCTGGCTTACTCAAAGACTCACGGAGCTCCAGTATGTATCCCTTCTCCTGATAACTTTCCCCCCTTTGGATATATCTGTGCATTTCCGGCCTACTTGAGTCGTGTTTCTTTTCTTTCAGTCGACTTGTCTTCTCTTACCTCTGCTTGCATATTTCGGTTACCGTTGTGTCCAGTTTTCTCGTTTCACTCAGCTCAACTAACAGACCACCCTGTTGCAGTTTGAGCTCCAGTCCCCTTTGATCTTTGACGAGTCTCTGGACTTCTCTGACCCGGAGGAGTCTCGGTTCGTCGGGGCCTATTCGGATAGCCTGCTGGCCAAACCTGGTAATCTCTTGTCCATGTCTGCTCTCGACAAACCTCAGAAGTTTGAGTTTCTAGGTGAGATCAGCCTCTACTCATATGACTCCGTTCCATTGCTAATCATGTATAGACTCGGATGAAACCTCCAGTGCTCTGCGTGAAACATCAGCTTTGCTTTCTTGTCCACCTGGAACTTACGGAGCCTCCATGTACAACCCAATGCTGGACGGTAGCTTTATTTCCGACGACGACAGCGCTCACTACATTCCGAACAGCGCCTATGCTGGGTCCCCGTTCGACATCCGTCGTTCGCCCAGCCTAGAGTCAAACTGCAACCCTGTTCCGGAAGTGACCTCGTTTTCTCCTTCTGTCGGATACGAAGGCACCAAGCTCTCTATTTACGTTGAGTCGTTCTATGATCTGCTCAACCCACCCACCTGGACTTTCTCTGTCCTTTTTGGATCGTACCAGTGCGACTGCTCCATTAACTCCCTGGTTGTGGAAGAGTCCAGATTTCAGTACGTGCTCACTGTCATCGTGCCTGCATTCGTGTCCACCGCTTGCGCTGCACTCACGGTCCCTCTTCAAGTCATCATCAACGACCAAGAGGCGTCCGCTCAACACATTGCACGCATCGGTTCATTTACCTACGATCAGGAGGCAAGGCAGATGTCTCCACGCAAGCGAAGAATGTCTTCTGCCTCAGACGGTACTTCTGCTTCTGTCAACTCAAGTTCTGCAAAGCAAATGCGCATCAATGATGGTACCAAGCCTGAGCGCTTGTCTGCATCTCCTTACTCCCCTTACCTTCCAACTCCCAGCTCAATGAGTGGCTACTCTGGACAATACCAGCAGGTCCTCCCCCCGGCTCAGTATGAGAATCAAATCCAGTTGAGAGCTGCTGCACCTTCATCTCTTGCTTCGTCATGGAGTCCATGTATCTCCAACGCGACGGCAACATCGTGCAGTCCTTCAATGTCCGTGACCCCTATTGCTCAGGAGTCGGACATGAACCGTGCAAACCCAACCTTGGTTCGTACTTCAACCATCCAGCAAGCTCTTGCCGGTGCTCCAAGCCCAAACGCGCCATTCAACCCTTACGCAATGTATCCAAGTAAAGCCGTTCTCAAGCTCAACGGTGACCTTGACGCGATGGCCCTCAACTGGAAGCCCGAGGAGTGCGAAGCCCAGCGCCGTCTGGTTCAATTCACCCGCCGCCAAGAGGGTAGCACTATCCACGCGGACTTCAAGCCCGTCTCTCCTTCTGAGCGTGCTCCCAACAGCATCTGTATCAGTTGCATTCAATGGGCCGGCAAGAAGGAATGCTACGTCACCAGTGTTGACACGATTTATCTGCTTGAGTCTCTCGTCGGTGTCCGTTTCACTGTGGAAGAGAAGAACCGTATCCGCCGTAACCTTGAAGGGTTCCGTCCCATGACCGTCTCCAAGGCTAAGCCGGACAGCGAAGACTTCTTCAAGGTGATCATGGGCTTCCCAAACCCGAAGCCTCGCAACATCGAGAAGGACGTCAAGGTCTTCCCCTGGAAAATCCTCACTCATGCTCTCAAGAAGATCATCGGGAAGTACTCGGCCAGCTACTCCTCCACCGCTGCCGCTTTGCCTGCACCTCTTCGTTCGAACTACGCTGGTAGTCCCAACATGTCCAGCGCAAGTCTTGTGGATGTCCGTTCCTGTTCTCCTGCTGAACAGCAGTCTAACGGGGTGACCAATGCTCTCCCGTCCCACACTGCTGCTCACCTGACTCCATCCAGCTACCTGTCGGTCATGGGAACAAGTGCTGCATCCCACCCCAGCCTAACTGCAGCATACAATTACTCTGGCGTTACCAACCGACACATTCAACCCTCCCCCGTCATCGTTCCCAGCCAGGCCTCGTTTGATTTCAGCGCATATGTCGGGCACAGCCAGATGCCGACATACCAGAGCTCTTAGTCGCCGCGTACATCTCATCTCAACCTCGAATTTGGCTAATTCATTGACTCCGCTTCTCTTCTTTTCGACTTTTCGTTTCTGCCTGCATAGCGAGTTCCTCCTTGATTTTGCTCTTCTCCGTTTTTTGGTTTTGCGTTCCCTGTTCAGCATTTCTCGAGAGTTTGGGTCCCGTCAGTCACTCCTTACATACCCCGATGCCACCAGTTATTGAGAGGTTGTCTTTTCCCTGCACCGAGAAAAGACAACTGTCTACGAATTTCCTTCCGTCACTCCTTTAACGACCTTATCAGAAACAAGCGTGGTGTTGGTTGCATTTATCATCGATTCGTCTTTTTTTTTGGAGAAAAAAAGAAGAAAGGCTCTGCTTATCAGCCGAGGCCTACTAATACTGTGCTATTACCCCTTTCCTTACTGCGCTCTGCGTCAGCGCAAAAAAACCCCCTTTGGTCATGTCTCTCCTTCATCTCCCTAATGACGCATTAATCTTAATACTGTCCTTTCCTCGCCGCCAACCTCACTACCACAGCCATCGACACACCGATACCGCTCCGCTCCGCCCCTCCCCCTCAACATCCTCCCCTCTCCTCATCTCCCTGACCTTCCTTACCATTTGTACAGACGTGCTTGTTTCTGCCGAGGCCGCACAAATCACAGCACACAGCAGCATTTTTTCCGCATTTTTGCATGCATAAAAAAGACTCCGAGTTGGGCTGGTTTCACTCCTTTTAGCATTGACTGTTAATGCGCTTTTTTTGCCTGCGTCGAATTATCATTCCGCATGGGTTACACTCCTTTTCCATTGTTATCGGTTATAGACAGAGCATTTGCATCGGATATGGGTACGGGACTACAGAACTGGTTTTTTAACTACCTTCTGTTGCTTTTTGTTGTTTTCCTGCTATTTTTCACTTTCTGTTTCCGCGTGTTTTAAAAAAGGGAATTTGCGAGTTATTGCTTTAACTGTTGTTTTTATCATTGTTTTTCGAGCTTGCTAGCAGATTTGTAATTTTGGATTGTTCTCTATTTCCTGTTCGTTTAGCTATTATTTTGGCCTTTCTTGGGGTGGACGAAATAAATATTGGAGTTCATTTAATATTATCTTCACTCCCAATCAACCGGTGCTTCCATCAATTTTATACACCAGACGACGATATACAAACCACACGCCAATGCCCAAAAATGGTGCTTTGGACGCTATAAATAAATCCTGGTCTGATCTTTGCGCGTGGGGCGAAATCTTAATTCGGGCTTATCAAAAAATTGAGTCACTGCGAGGAGCAAAAACCGTCCTTTTCCCCATCGCCAACGCCTTTTCTCGATTATTATTCCTCCCTCCAGCAAAGCTCTCACTCCTGAATACGCCGAAGTCGCAATTTCTTCCCCTGTCAATATCGTATTGCAGGGAACTTGACCAGTCATCGACTTGATCTCGACGCATTTGCCCCACCACAGCTTGCAACGCTGGTCTCGCCTGGCGGTGCATAGATACATATAGAACGTATTCCTACTGTTCCTTCAGCTGAGTCGGAGACAGCCTATTTCACCAGCAGCAACCCCAAGTGATACACAAAAAAAGACAGTGTTACGTCTGAGCAGTCTAAATAGTCATAATGGAGCAGATAAAGCAGACCTTTGTGAAATGCAAGGAGGAGAAGAGGTCCGCTCTCGTTGCGTATGTGACGGCGGGGTATCCGGAGGCTAAGGAGACGGTTGATATCATGCTTGCAATGGAAGATGGTGGTGCGGGTGAGTATTTCTACAGTCTACGGAATGCCAATGGTACAAAATTCCCCTATCTAATGAGCTTTACGCAGATATAATCGAGCTTGGAGTCCCCTTTACGGACCCCATTGCTGACGGACCTACGATTCAACGCGCAAACACTCAAGCCCTTAAGAATGGCGTCACGGTCACATCTGTGCTTGAGATGGTTAGGACTGCTAGACGAAAGGGTCTCAAGGCCCCTGTGATGATGATGGGATACTATAACCCCTTGCTACAGTACGGTGAAGAGAGAATGTTGAAGGATGCCAAAGCCGCAGGTGTAAATGGTTTTATCATGGTAGACCTGCCGCCGGAAGAAGCCGTGAGATTCAGAGATTTGTGCAAGAAGGAGGGGTGAGTGTTCTTCTCTTCCGGTTGTCCGAGGCATGGCTAACTTCTGGTGTTTGAAAGGCTATCGTATGTCCCGTTGATTGCACCCGCTACTTCAGAGGCTCGTATGAAGCTGCTTTGCGGGATTGCCGACTCCTTCATCTATGTTGTTTCCAGAATGGGTGTCACCGGTGCTACCGGTACGTTGAGCACTGGGCTGCCAGATCTTCTGAAGCGAGTCCACACATACTCTGGAAACATTCCTGCTGCGCTCGGATTCGGCGTTAGCACAAGAGAGCACTTCCTCGAAGTTCAGGGTATCGCTGAGGGTGTTGTCATCGGCAGTCAGATAGTGACTGTCCTAGGTGAGGCTGCACCAGGAGAGCGCCCGCAGAAGATCAAAGAATACTGCTCTAGCATCACTGGCCGTACTGTCGAGCGCGGCCCTGTCCCAGAGGTACCAGCCGAAGCACCGGGCCTTGCTGACCAGCTTGAGGCTCTTAACGTTACCAAGAACCCTGCTGCTATACCCGCACAGTTCGGTGAATTCGGAGGACAGTTTGTTCCTGAGTCATTGATGGACTGTCTTGCTGAACTTGAAGCCGGATTCAACGAGGCTAAGAACGACCCCAAGTTCTGGGAGGAGTACCGCTCTTATTACCCATACATGAGCCGCCCAAGTAGCCTCCATCTAGCTGAGCGTCTGACCGAGCACGCTGGCGGAGCCAACATCTACCTCAAGCGAGAGGATCTTAACCACACAGGCAGTCACAAAATAAATAACGCCCTAGGCCAAGTTCTCCTCGCCCGCCGCCTCGGGAAGAAGCGAATCATTGCTGAAACTGGTGCCGGTCAGCATGGTGTTGCTACCGCCACTGTCTGCGCCAAATTTGGAATGGAGTGTGTCATTTATATGGGAGCAGAGGATGTTCGTCGCCAAGCTCTCAACGTGTTCAGAATAAAGCTCCTTGGTGCATCGGTTATTCCCGTTGAGGCTGGATCGCGTACCCTCCGCGACGCTGTCAACGAAGCTTTGCGCGCCTGGGTCGTCCATCTCGACACAACTCACTATGTCATCGGCTCTGCCATTGGAGCTCATCCTTTCCCAACTATCGTCCGAACCTTCCAGTCCGTCATCGGAGAGGAGACCAAGGCCCAGATGAAAGAGCTTACCGGCCGTCTACCAGATGCCGTCGTGGCCTGCGTTGGCGGTGGAAGCAATGCAGTTGGCATGTTCTACCCCTTCTCAAACGACCCTAGTGTCAAACTTCTTGGCGTCGAGGCTGGTGGTGACGGTATCGATACCGCTCGGCACTCTGCTACCCTTACAGGTGGCTCCAAGGGCGTGCTTCACGGGGTCCGAACATATGTACTCCAAAACGAGCATGGTCAAATCTCTGACACTCACTCCATTTCTGCAGGACTGGATTATCCCGGAGTTGGTCCTGAACTGAGCAACTGGAAGGATTCTTCTAGGGCCAAATTCATTGCTGCCACCGATGCAGAGGCCCTGATCGGGTTCAGGACCATCTCCCAGCTTGAGGGTATCATCCCAGCTCTTGAGTCCTCGCATGCTGTGTACGGCGCAATCGAGCTAGCCAAGACGATGAAGAAGGGTGAGAACATCGTGCTCAACTTGAGTGGACGAGGTGATAAGGATGTGCAAAGTGTTGCCGATGCCTTGCCTGAACTTGGTCCTAAGATTGGCTGGGACCTGAGATTTTAGATTTTGGAATATGGTCAGTCAAAAAAGAAGCCTGGACTCACTTAGATGATGAACACGAAAATAAAGATTTTGGGGTAGTAATTTGCGTTTATTAGATGATATATTCGTGTTCTATAAGAAGAATAACGTGCAATCGATTTGAAATTATTTCATGCGCATCGTACGGGGTGATTAATTATGATTGATAACGCCAGCAAGTTTAATCCCAAAACACACCAAAGCTCAGCTTCAGTTCCGACCCATTCCCATTATACGTACATAGTGATTTAAATCTTGGTCTCATTGGACTCGACTGGTGATGAATCGAGTTCGACAGGCGATGTAATGGGAGTTGAATCTAGTTCTCGAGCCCTGTTCACAGCAACGCTTCTATCAACCTTCTTCTCCTCACCGTCCAATTCACTCACGACAACCACTTTGGGGCCACGAGGAGCAGTGCCCGCGGAGTCTGGCATTTCTGAAATCCCGCTATCGGAAGTGTCTGATTTCTTCTCATGTGGTTCTGACCTTTTGCGACGTCTGAAGAAGTATATAGCTCCGAGAACGATCAACAACGCAAAGACGGCGCATCCAGCGGCTATTCCGCCTATTTGGCCTCCACTTAAGCCTTTTTCAGGCGGTACGCTTGAAGAGGTGGCGGATGATGTATTCGGTGCGGAGGTTGGGGTGCTTGTAAATGTTGAAGATGTCATGGACATTGACGAGTTGGTGCTTGTGCCGTTATTGAAGTCAGCATATTTGACACAGCAACTTATGTCATTTGGGCCTGGACATGGCCATGGCTAAGGATACAGTTAGCCCCAATTTCGCCGTTGCGGTTGAATGCTTTGGGGGATGATATACTCTGCCAGTACCAGGAAAGAACTCGCCGCCATCGCATCCGTTATTCTTTATGCTTCTGCATACGCCATAGCCCTGGGACACATTGCATACACGGACAAGACAGCACTATTTAATAGATTAGATTTTGTGTTCACAGAGCCATCAAATATACTATGAATCGAATTAAACACCTCAATATCATCGGTTCCAGGACCACATATCCCTGATGTAGACACACCCGGACCTACCAATCATTGCATATTAGGACCTAGTGTTGTTCGCATATATAGGAAGGTTATGAACGATCGTACAGTTTTTCTTTGGGGTACATTCTCCCACACCTTCGTTGGTGGTGCAGGTATTATTGCCTTGACTCGACTGTCGCCAGGCAAGACGAGCTCGAGCCCCTGAGCTGAACAGCGGCATGCTTTCTTAGCTTTTAGCAGCCAAGTATTATAGAATCTTGCCCGCCGCCCGTGTTGGGCGCAAGAATCCCTAGATTTTCTTGTGATAATTGTACAGAAAACAAAAAGAGAAGGGAGGAGGAGTAGAGCAGATTCTGCAAAGCCATGGTAGACCTCTCCAATATCTAAAGAATTCTTGATGACGAGGCAACCATTCGTATTTATGTTCCGCTTATAGTGTGGGCTGAAGGTCAACGAGTTGTTTCACTTAGTGCAACGAGGGACCTGGGCCAATAACTTAAGTCCGCAGCCATACAAGGATATCAGTTAGATCAATTGTCGTATTTCTTTGCTTTTTTCCCGCCCTTTGGCTGGTCGATCATCTTGCTGAGCCCTGCTGTCTCGAGCCCAAAACCTCCTCCTTTCGTAGAGCCGCACGAGAATCGTTGAAAACTTGTGTCATCATGGCGGATTGTACTCTATAGTTTAGACAGCATAGCGTCTATCTCTGTCCTTCTCTAGTCTCCATCTTGTCGTCTTCATCTGTCTTTTGATGTTGAGGTTGAAGTAAAGAAAAAACACCAAAAGTATATATTGACACGTGATCGTGACTAATCAAAAATCAGCCTCAACTCGTGATTGGCTGAATCGGGAAGCTGGAACTTCAGCGATGTTGACGGCGTCGATGGAGTTGATAGAGACAACTTCGCCTTGCCTTTGCTTAGAAGAATCTATATACTGCCACTTGGATATCGGTTAGGGCTATCTACTTTCTTGCAGTCATGGCACCAGGCTTAGAAGACCGTCGGATGGCTTCCGTCCAGCCTCGACTCAAGTACAACACTGTTGGCGGTGTCAACGGGCCCCTGGTCATCCTAGACAACGTGAGCTTTATATATATGATGGCTTTCCCGGTATGCTGGAAGTCATATGTGCTGATTATCGGGCTGGAAAACTCGGTTTAGGTCAAATTCCCTAGATACAATGAGATTGTGTCCCTTACGCTGCCAGATGGATCTGAACGATCAGGTCAAGTGTTGGAGGCTAGAGGTAGGTGGTTCAGCAAGCTCCGTTTAGTTGCGTGCTGAGAGCTTTGGCTAACATCTATATCTGCCGCTAGGAAACAGAGCTGTTGTACAGGTTCGCATACCGGCCCGCGGTCCTGATAAAACGGATGCTGATTTAGATGCTCGCAGGTATTCGAGGGTACAACAGGTGTAGATGTCAAAAAGGTGTGGTAAACAAGTCGAAATCTGGGCTTACACGCAATAAACGGATGCTGACTCGATGAAAGACTAAAGTCGAATTCTCCGGTCACAGTATGAAGCTGGGAGTCTCGGAAGATATGCTGGGTCGAGTGTTTGACGGATCTGGGCGTGCTATTGATAAGGGACCCAAGGTTCTTGCTGAAGAATACCTTGACATCAACGGCAGTCCTATAAACCCATACTCGCGAGTGAGTTTTTCTGTGACAATAATTCGGAAACTCTGCTAAACAATCATTGCTCTAGGTATACCCTGAGGAAATGATTTCCACTGGAATTTCTGCCATCGATACTATGAACTCAATTGCCCGTGGACAGAAAATCCCTATCTTCTCTGCTTCTGGTCTGCCTCACAACGAAATTGCCGCTCAGATTTGTCGCCAAGCTGGTTTGGTAAAGAAGCCAACCAAGGACGTACATGATGGTCACGAAGAGAACTTCTCCATTGTTTTTGCCGCTATGGGTGTTAACATGGAAACCAGTCGATTCTTTACCCGTGACTTTGAGGAAAACGGTAGTATGGAGCGTGTCACGCTGTTCCTTAACCTTGCCAATGATCCTACGTAAGTTGCCACAACTGTCCCATGGGCTTGCATGGGCTTGAAGGGAGCTAATGATAATAATGTAGAATCGAGCGTATCATCACACCTCGTCTTGCGCTTACCACAGCAGAGTACTACGCTTACCAGCTAGAGAAACACGTTCTTGTTATCTTGACTGATCTCTCAGCCTACTGTGATGCCCTTCGTGAGGTCTCTGCAGCTAGAGAAGAAGTGCCCGGTCGACGTGGATATCCCGGTTATATGTACACAGATTTGTCCACGATTTACGAACGTGCTGGACGAGTTCAAGGACGTAATGGCTCTATCACCCAGATCCCCATTCTGACTATGCCTAACGATGGTACGCTACTATCTTTTGGCACGTTATTCTTTTTATAAAACTTGATGCTGACAACATATTTAAGATATTACTCACCCCATTCCTGATTTGACTGGTTATATCACCGAGGGTCAGATCTTCATTGACCGTCAACTTGACAACAAGGGTATTTACCCACCAATTAACGTGCTTCCATCTCTTTCCCGATTGATGAAATCTGCTATTGGTGAGGGCCGTACGCGCAAAGATCATGGTGACGTTTCCAACCAGCTGTACGCGAAGTACGCTATTGGTCGTGATGCCGGTAAGTTTGTTTTCCTATATGAACAAAGCATTATACAGCAATATCTAACAACATAATTATAGCCGCTATGAAGGCAGTCGTTGGTGAAGAAGCTCTGTCTGCTGAGGACAAGCTATCGCTTGAATTCCTGGATAAATTTGAGCGAACCTTCATCTCCCAATCCGCATACGAATCTCGAACCATTGAGGAATCGTTGGATCTGGCCTGGAATCTACTACGCATTTACCCTAAGGATCTCCTCAACCGTATTCCCAAGAAGGTTATTGATGAATTCTACCAACGCTCTGGCAAAGGTCGAGCTCGCCCAACTAAGGATACGCGGGACACTGCCGCTGAACCCGCCGCCCCCGCTGATAACAACCTCATAGACGCATGAGGAACACAATCTTGATCCGGTTTGTGTATTAAGTGAAGAAAGGATTAGATTTTGTTATTAATTCATTTTTTTCTCGGTATTGTATCTAAGCATTTGATATTTATCTGCTCGAGCTCTCATTTTCTATGATGACAAATTTCCTTGGGATAATCATCTTTCTGCTCACTATCCGAAATATATTTGAACCCCTTTTTACCAAAATTAACCCCCAGATAGTCGCAGTGTGTCTGTCTGTATCCAAACTTCAATAATATGCATAAACAGTGAAGTCTACTATCTTCCATCAACTATGCATCTAATATATCAGTATGAACGCGGCTACGCCAGCAAACATTGCGGGTATTACCCAGCTCGAGACCACTAGTCTCATGGCGCTGGATGTTTTCTTGTTTCTAGAGTTATTCACTGAACGTTGGCCAACCATCAAAGGAGTGCTAGTAGCAACAAAAGCATGAACAAAGGTTCCATCTCTCCCAGTCCTAGAAGCATCCTGTTTCCCACTTCTCCCGGTTGCAGTGGTAGATGGTTCGTTCCAATCAGATTCGGACTCGTACCAGACTCCATTAATAATAATCCCCTCCCCGCGCGTCAATTTCTCAATCTGTGCTGGTGAGCATGTATCCTTCACTTTGCGAAGGTAACACGTCGGTTTAGCCATTGGCGGAGCAGAATTGGTCGCTGTTGTGTTTGCATCACCTTTAGTGCCAAACGTAGATATATCTACCTTTTGACCAGTGGATAGATCAACTGGCCCCTGAATGACTCGCGAAAAAAGTGTAAAGAGGGTCTCCGGTTGGTAGGCGGGTATCAAGTGGCCAGCATCGTATATTCGGGAGAACGATAGATTGCCAAACTGTCGAACCATGCCGCCCACGTATGTATCGTTGATAATGAGGGGCGCATAACCAGCGGCGTTGAAACCACTAAGGTACGGAGACGAAGAAGAAGACGAGGCTGCGATCGAGAAGGCAGCTGCCTGGCCGCCCATCCAGTTACATAGGTAATCTCTATCCCCGTATATAAGAGCAACGCGTATTCCTCGATCCAATAATCTAGCTAAATCTGAGATATAATTCCCTCGATCATAGTCCGCTGTGTTGAGAAAGGCAGTAGAAACTGTTGAGCTATAGTCTGTGATGTTCATTGAGATACCGATGGACTTCTGTACTTGCTCCAGATTGAGATATTCAAGATATGTATGCGGCGGAAACGGGTCCAGGCTGCTCTGTGAGATATCATGGCTGCTGCGTCCTATCTTTGAGAATAAATTGGGGGTCTCTGCCAAACACGCGGAAAGCGCAGCCAGGCATTTTATATTCACAATTTCCACGCTACCAGTATTTTCTGGGTCCGAATATTTGATCTCTCCACGGCAATCAATGATTTTATCTCGACAGCCGCCTTGTTTAGAGAAATTCTCCAGAAATGCGTCCTTTTCCTTATGCGTAGTGGCGCTGATTCCGTAACTATTGTTAAATGCAAATATTGGGTAATAGGGATTTTGAACCAAATCGTCAATGCAACCTTGCATAATACCAATGGATCGAACGTTTAGCTCGAGTGTCTCCAGGGCAGATAATCTCCCCTCTTTTATCTCTGCGTTCTGCTTCTCGAAATAAGTAACAAAACTAGGGGCGTATTTACCACCATAGCTCTCTGCAAATAAATTAATTGGAATCGACCTAGGCTCGTTTCCGTTGGCAAAGCTAGGGGGCCGCGAAGAATGCTGCGGAAGTTCTGCTAGGATAGCTTGTAGAACGTGCCAAATTGCCTTTGCAGCCGTCGAAGTAGTGTTTGTAGTAACCTGGACGTCATTTGAGGAGGTGATACCTTTTAGCCAGGTATTTCTAGGCTGGTTCGCTGGTGGTTCAGAAGGAGGAAAGGTATATGACGAATTAAGTAGATTCAGGGATCCCTCCTGTAACCAGTCAAAGGAGAAACCTGACTGAACAGGCTGGTCGATATAAAGCATGTTACTGCCCCTGTCCCAGCCCCATTCTCTTGCACGTGTCCCAAGTCTGTCTTTTGCAATTTCAATAACTTCGCATGGCCCTGTCTCCTGGAATAGGCCTACTAGGCTTGTGCTACCAGGCCCCCCATTCAGGTATACCGTAAGTGGTGCATTTTCGGGGCCGAACCTGGATTCCACCAGCCAAAAGAATGTGTTGATGGAATAATTTTGCTGAATTGATCCTATCGTGGATGGAGGGAGGCTCACATAGCCAGTATATTGTTTTTGGTCCTCAAACACGGTTTCACATGTTCCTGGGCGTGGGGTTTTATAATTGATTGCAATCCCATTCACTTTAATGGTTGAAGAGGTGGTGCTTGAGGTCCCGCTTAAAAAGCTGGTAAACGATGTCGACCTTGCAGATAATTGTAGGGTAAAATGGGATATGATGACCAAGATGGTCAAAAAGCGACTCATTATATGCCACTGACTGATCAGTACGTATTATGTGGGAGTAAATATAAGCATGCAGCCTACTCACCATTTGTACTTGGTCAATGGCAAAAAAGATCTACCAAAGCCTTGTTCCTAGATTAATTCAATTAGGAGTAATACCGGCGGTAACAGTAATGCCGCTTCATATTTAGGGGATAAGAAACAAAAACTCCGTAGAGATGTCGAGTATATTTATAGCCGTACTTCTTAGAGTGGCTCTTCGATAAGAGTAAACGCACCACGAGCAGAATCAAACGAAGGAAATGTTCGCAGCCTTGAAATAGAAATTTCAGGGGCTGATTTTAGAACCCCGGAATAATCAAACATTTGTTTGGTGACCCAGGAACATTTTTGGGAAAGCTAAGGGTATCAATGATGTAGTTCCGCATTTGCAGGGGATGTTCTCCATTGCAGCGGCCACCCATGATTCGCATACAGCAGGGTCTGTTGGTCGTTTGACAAACGTGAGAGGAGCACAGCAATCCCGTGTCCAACATGTGGCGCTCCAATCAACCAATACATTAAGCCCAAGGGAACAAAGAGATTCACTGACCAGATTGCTGGTTTGTAGATTATTGATATTGGCAGGCTAATCGTTTGACACAAGTTATGTTGGTTTCCTTCGGGCGGTGGATGGAATGCCATGGGTGATTGCTTGGGGTTACTGGATCCTGCCATATCGTACCGCATACTAGAACTATATATAGTCATATTATTGAAAACTCTTTAGAGAGGATTAGATGGATATCAGGGGCTTTCAGGGGTTTGCTTCGTGGCGAGCTGCGGTACATAAATGAAGTTGAAGTCGAAGTCGAGCTGAAGATGAAAAATTAGTTAGTTTAGGGCTTAAAACCTCGAATAGGAAATTGTGACAACATGCAAAACAACATCTCGGTTTTTTCTCTCTTCAAGACTTCGAGCCTTTCTCTTCCTTATAGACACCATCGCCTGAGATGGGTCTTTGAATTTCCCTTGAGCCTGTGAAGACATGCCGGATTCCATTGATTGCTCTTGTTGTATGAATTGCAATCTCCATGCCAACATACATAATACGTCGAGCACAAAGGGCGGATGACTTCCTGCGAGCGCTCAGTGACTGAACATATACGGAATATAAGAACAGTATTCTTATTATGATCGTTTTCACCTTCGGTATCTAGGATATCGTACCGTAGGCGGTTCCTGAACTCTACATCGTCCCATCGCCCCTTGAGTATAAACGGAGCCCTGTAGTGACCCCATAGATCGTGGTTCCTTCTAACACCGGATACCTCCGGCTGCATGCCCCTCGCTGGGTTAACACATACTTCCAGTTTGCGGTCAAGTAGCGCTTCTGAGTTGTAAATTGCCTCGTCGACTTAGAAGGCTAAATATAACTTACATGCTCGATATTCGCAGTGCCAGGTTACTTCCTGGCCATATTGAATGCCACTACTGCAAACAGCTTCACCACATACGATACAATCATGCAGTATCATATTGTTCGAGCTTGACCAATTCATTACAGCCCGAAAAAAGAGTTGGAGCACTCATCTGTATGCGGAGGATGACAACAACGTTTAGTCGCAAACTAGGTACTACGTCATATTTGATAACGTAGATCTATGTAGCTGGTTAACTGTTCTAAAGTAATTTTATCCTATTTTCTAATCAGTATTATCTTCTCTTATAACATTATCTCGATAGATGCCGCGTCACTAGATGTACCATGTTGATTAGCAACGATCGCTGTAGCAATGGGGCAAAGTGCACATTTCTTACCCGTCTCCGCCCCTTTAGATTTCCTTACTAGCCCCAGACTAGGGTACGCAGTTCCGACTTTAGAGGTCTTTTCCCATACATCTAGATGTTCCAAGCTTGATGACCTTTATCTGGCTATTGGTTGTGTTTTCGTTGGTTTTAGTAGTGTCTTGGATGTGTGTGCATCTTCCCGAGACTTGCTTTCTCGCCGCGTAATAGGGAGCTCCTCCGTATATCGTGGCAGCTTTTTTTGTGTCTGGTACCCGTTTTTGTGATCCCGCGCGTTTCAGTCTCTTCTGGGCACCGTTTTTTGCCTGAACGTGTGAGCGTCTGGAGGGCTCGCTGTAACCGGTGGCGGCATGTTGCTGTCTAATGGTAGGTATCATCTGAGCTCTGCTCTTCACTGCCAGCTGATAGATCTCTAGGAATCAGAGCAGTGCAAATTCCTCCAGATGAATTGCTACGTGCTCATTTAGCGGCTTAACCTGGTCCCCATCGAGTAGGCATATGGGACAGCTCTCCCGTGTGTCCGTAATGCTGGACTCCGAAATCTCAAGGAGGGTTTGAATATGCACCTCGGTGAGGCTGTCGCCATGTTTCTTCTCCAGAGGGACGCGTAGACCTGATTGTGACCAGAAGGCAATCTCTTTATGTTCAAAGCACTGCCGTACCCGACGATGTACTAGCCTTTCATGCTCGAGCTAGGCATGTCTGGTACCGTACAGTTGCTGCCCATCAGGGCAGTCTGGGTAAGACTAAATCTCCTATTATATATAACTGATTAAAATGAATGAAGGGTTTGAACCTATACCTGCTCAAGTAGATAGCAGTTATTTCATGACGCCTTTAGAACTAGTGTAGCGTAAGGCATCGATGAAGATGCTTGCCCCTCACGAGAATCTCAGCCGTGTGAGGCTGGATAAATATAACTGCAGGCTTTCTTAGCGTATCGTCCTCGCCAGGCTGTGCCAACCATCGCCAGTAACTAATTGGCACCATTCTCCAGCCGGCTTTGAGACTAGAGGGTTTTCTCCGTAGCAAGCCAAAGGTAGTTTATTTGAACAAGATGTCCTTTGGGCTTTCCGCTGGTGACTTTATAGCTGTTGGTAAGCTCTGCTGGACAGCCTACGTTGCTTGCAAAGGCGCTTCATCAGAATATGCTGAAGCCATCAACGAGCTTAGGTAGGCTTAAACATACACAGCTATGCCTTTTACCCTTACAACTACTTTCTTTAAGCTATGTGCTAATATCTATGCAGCACCCTTTACCTCATCCTAAAGGAAATAGAATGTGAAGCCCAGGATCCAAACTCGATCCTCAACAGACACGGTCGAGGGCAGCATGCATATCTCTATACCGCAGTTGCCAATATTAAGCCCACACTCCAGGAACTCGAGGGCCTTGCCACCAAGTACCGTGCCTTGGGTAGGTCAGATAAGCGCACTTGGGACAGAATCAAATTTGCTGCCGAGCAGGTGGCTGACCTACGTGCGAAACTGAGTTATCACATAACAGCAATCGGCGTTCTTCGAAACGGCATCTCTTCCATGGCAATTGTGAGAATTGAACGGATCTTGGAAGATATCAAAAATGATATTCATCTTGGAAAACGGCCTCCAACTGTTTTGTCCGCTCCAACGGAGCCCAGCCAAGCAAGCGTGTCTTCACGGAGAGAGTTGGCAACGGAATTGATCGAAGACGGCATTTCGCAGATAGAGATTGATTCAAATTGGGAGGCCATTGTAAGATATCTGGAAGAACCAGGCATTCCGGCATTGAGCGTGTCCAGTCAGGATGCTGCAGGGCTATATATTGGGGAGCCACAATCTACTTCCCAAACAATATCCACCAGTGATGACGGCGAAGGATGGGATTCTGTCTCCCAACGTTCGCGGGGAAACCGTATGCCGCTACCATCCATTCCTCACTTTCTGCCCGTTTCTGGGTCTACTAGGGATATAAGTTCAAACCCCTCACAGGCAAGTATTTGTACTAGCTTAGGCTTGGCTCTTGCTAATGAATTTGCCATTTCATAGGTGGAGGAAGAGCTTAAGCTCGGTGAGATGGACCAAAAACACCATGGCGCTAATGGAGGCTCTCTACAATGGATGGTAGACCATTTATTCGATCATTTTCGACTTCCTCATCCTTACAAGACGTATATCAGCAGCTCGTGTCTCCTTTTCCCGACCAATGTTAGGAGGACTATATGTGATTGTACGCCACGCCCCCATATCCTGATGGAACAGATTCACTTGCTCGCTGGCATCCGAGAGGGAGATATCATTATAGAATTACCAACCCATTCCACAACGAAACTTTGGGTTCTTGGTATAACTAGACAAGGATATATTGGATACTTCTACCGAGATTGGTTGGCGGATTTGACTGAATCGGATGTTGCTTCTGTGCTATCTCATCCACTGGATAAGTTTCGAAGTAAAGAGATCCAGGATTCCCACGCGAGAACATTCCCGGGCTGCCCAATCAGCATATTCCTAGTCGAAATACCTGCGGCTCTAGAGATCCCCCATATTTTGGCAACCTATTGGCAATACACCTATCGCTGTTGCCCGGGTCAATTCAATATTAATCCCTACCTTTACGGTCGGTCATTTGAGGTTAACAAGATTACAGGGGCTCCTCCGGATTGGTTTTCTGAACACCCAATTCCGACGTGTATACGAATTGTTAATCCAATTCACAATCGCTCAGCACATGCACTCGGCCACCTCGCAAGAAGGTATCTTGAAATGCAAGTTCAAGGGGATCTGACTGGCTACCTGCAAGCGGTTGTGTGTCACATATATCTGGAGTCTACTTCCGAAGAATCCGCCAAAGAAATGGAATCATCGTTAAACCGCATTCTGGTATCAAGCATGAATAGGCCAGGACAACAGCCTTCCGAAGCTGGTTTTGTACCCTATGTACCCTACCACCCGGGCTCGTTTGACCTTATTCCGGAGGATCATATTCTCGCTCTATTCTCCTCATATTATTTACACAAACACCATTACCATGGTCGAGCAAAATCTACCCGCCTTGCATGCTATGCAAAACTTGATGTATCCTTTAAGGATCTTTCAAGCATCGATGCAAGCACATCGAGGAACCCAGTCAACACACCCCATATGGACTCGGGGAATATGAAGTTCGAACTAGTATCTAGTAACAATACGCCTAGTATAGGAAAGAAATCGATGGGAATACACTTTGGGCGTGAGAAGGCGCTCGCACAGGATTTCGAACTGGTCAGAACGTGTATCGATAATTTTCTTCTAGCGGAATTTGGTTATGACACTGTTACCACCGCCTTTGTTTCGCGGCAGGAGGCTTATAATCTAGTCAACGAGCGACGGCGCCAGGCGATACTGGGGAAGTCGGCTCAGCCTCAGAGTGGTAAGTGACCCAAAGATGATGGTGTCCTGCGCTATGCTATGGTTTGGGGTCCGATGCATGTCTTTCGCTCCCTACATTGTCCCTGAATGTCTCCTGCTGCCATCTCAGACTAGAAACGGTTGCTCTGTTGCTCATAGAGCGGAGGTTAGTCTATGCAGAATCTTTCCCAGGAATCCGTAGTCGCTTCGAGAAAACATTCTGGCGATTTGTAGAAGCCTACCTATCTTAGCTAGTATTCCTCCGTTCCCAGGAACAGCGGACGTAGGCCGGTCTAATAGCATGTAGCCTATGTTTGTTGGTTAGGATTGTTACTTGAGCGGGTGTAACTCGCTATCGAGAGTTCTCAAGTAAATAACCTGGATTATGTCATCACCCGTTGGACATCAGCCTTTTTGTCCCTTGCAGTCCAACATCATCCAAAGCTATCTATTATATTCCAATCCCTGTCACGCCCGAATTGAAAAAATCTTCCTGGTATCAACAAGCACAATAATTACCGTTCGAGCTCTTTTGACGCCTTCTACTTGCTTGGTTGAAAGACTTTCCTGGGTAGCCAGCTCCAATGGCGTCCATACTCGAGCTGGAGGCCGATCAGCCTACAGTGGACCTGATCATTCAGCTCCAACTTCAAGATGCCGGCCTATACTTTGAATCACGCAAAGGGAAATCCCGAGACCCCACGGATGAAGAGCTGGCATTTCAGTTGCAGAACGAAGAGTTTGAAAGCATGTGCCAATTCCTCTCGGATAGACGAATGGCTACAAGTTTCGCAGCTGCGGTTCAAGCCGATGGGCGAGTTCTAGCTGATAACCAATTGGAAGAAGAACGCGCAGTCAAAGATCGAGATATTGCCCGCCACTTAACAGAGGACGGTTACCCGGTTAAAGCAGAAGACCGCCAATCAAACCCGGAATCAGTGGCCCTGGACGATGAGACATTGGCAAAGCTTCGGATCCTGTTCGTTTCTGGTTCGGAAGGCTACGACGACGCTAACAGCATGGAAACACCTGTTGATGAGATTGGGCAAGCCGAGTCGTCCACTCACGCAGCCAAACGAACCCGCCAGTCACAACCAATACTGCGCTGCTGTATAGCATGCAGAGAAGAAACAGAGTTTGTGAACGTGGCACGCGTGCCTTGTGGCCATGAATATTGTCGTCCCTGTCTTGAAGATCTCTTCAAAGCCTCAATGATAGATGAATCACTGTTTCCTCCGCGTTGCTGCCAACAACCCATTGTTCTAGATATTGCTCGCATATTTCTCAAGTCCGATCTCGTGCATTCATATGAAAAGAAAAAGGTTGAGTTTGAAACTCCAAATCGGACGTACTGCTACTCGTCCAGGTGTTTAGCTTTTATACCCCCTTCTTTCATTGAGGATGATGTAGCCACATGCCCCGATTGCGGCTCCACGACCTGTACCACCTGCAAGGAACGGGCGCATACGGGTGACTGCCCAAACGATACTCCTACACAGCAGCTGCTAGCTACGGCGCAGGAGAACGGATGGCAACGTTGTTATTCATGTTGGCGAGTGGTGGAACTGAACCACGGCTGTAATCATATGACGTTAGTGACCCTCTACTTTCCTTCATGCAACCTGATATTGACTATAAAGGGAGAGATAGCTGCCGATGTGGCGCCCAGTTTTGTTACAACTGTGGAGAGCGCTGGAAAACCTGCTCTTGCGAACAATGGGATGAACATCGTCTCCTTGAGCGTGCAAATCAGATTATCGATCGAGAAGTAAATCCGCGCGTCGCCCCCGCTCCTCCCTCGGAATTTGATGCATCTGATTCGGATGATGACGAGCCTTGGCTAGAAACGCATCAGTTGCAGTTAGGTGGAGCAACCCAGGCAGCAGTAGAACCTCCCACCCCCGTGCTAGATATAAATAGCCCACAGGCGCAGACGGCAAGGGATACCTTGGTTGCATGGACAATTCAGGAGCTCCGAGAAAACCACGAATGCAGCCATGAGAGTTGGAAATATATACGAGGCCCTCATGTTTGTGAAGAATGCACTAATTATCTGTTTAAATATATCTTCGAATGTCGTCGATGCAGGCTCCAGGCTTGCAACCGATGCAGGAGAAATAGGCTATGATCACGTTTTTGTCCACAGCTAATATCAACATTGGTTGCGAACATTGATAGCTGCCAAAACATTCTTACCTTTTTGGATGAAAGCATCAAAAACGGAAGAGCACAGGCTGTACAATATCAAACCTATAACTGGATAGAGAGCTCAGGAAGATACAACAATGTCAAGAATTTTTGGTCGGTACAGTCTTCAGTCACCGCATTTCCGCCGCATTTCCACCGTATCTTCTAGTTGTTGCTGGAAACTACAAAACCACCGTTCAAGGCTAAGCGGGATCGGAAGGTCCTTCTGTTAACTACTCCCGGTTCTACAAACTCGTCCCTGCTTGTCTGTACCATTTTTAGCCCCAGGCATCTGAAAATTCATTGCTAACACGGCAGCTGTTCTAGGGCCCTACACCACCGGTGCTCGCATAACCTGGCGCAGCACCTTTCGGCCCATCTCCAGTTTTTCTGCTCGGTCAGTTAAGAATTCCCTTAACTTTCTCCCCGAAGGTGGTTCCGAGCTGAGGTTTTGGACCTCGTCATCCGGCAACCCTGCGATAACAACAGCAGATAGTATTTGGTCAAGGCCCCGGACAATGTGGCGTTCGATAACCTGGGTCGTTACATTTGCCATGAAAACCTTTTGGATTACCTTATAAATGGCAAGCAGACAATCAAGGACCGCTTCGCAGCTGTGTCTATCCATATCAGGGTCAACACCTCGGAAATATAGCTCTAGTGCTGCATCTACGTTGACGCTATCGAAGGTGTGGTTCGATTGACAGCCAGGCATAGCCTTCTGAGTGGTACACTTTTCCAGACATTCCTTCAGCTCTTTCTTTGCTCTGTCATTGCCACGTTTCATGATAGTATCCGTGTAGTAATGGTTATAGTTGATGGGATAGCTGTGGATATCCTCCATGAGTTTGCAAAGCTCAGCTTGCGCATTTTTGGACCGAGAAGCCAATTCGTCCTGGACCCTAGGAAGTAGCCGTGTATAGATATCGGTTGGCGACTTTTCCTTCAATAACTCACAGAGAAACCGACTACAAACATCCTCTACCTCCTCCATATGTGTCTGTGCAATATGATGCCACCTTGAGGATTGCTCCCAGAAGAGCTCCCCAATTACAAGGGGGTTGAAGTTACCAGGAAGCTCTCTGCCACGCGACTTGATGATGTGGTCCCGAACCCACGCCATAGCTGTTTTGTGGGCCATTTTGGGAGGCCGCGTTACGCCTTGGGATAGGTTTTCGAGGAACAATTTAATGCCGTCGGGGCTGCTTTTAACATCAATATCCTCATCAGCTGTTTCCTCGGCCTTGGGATGTTCCAAGTCGACATCGGGGTACCAATTTCGGATCAATTTTTCCCCCCCAGACCGTGGGATGTGAAATTTGTGACCCTTCAGCCTCAGAGTGTTAGAGAAGTCCTGGTTCATGAGCTGGATCACCGCGCGTAAACGTCGCACTGATACCGATTTTATGGCAGGCCCGCTGGTACCAAGAAAGTATTTCCCTTCATAATTTCCGCAAAGAGCGGCTTTACAGATCTCTGAAAATTCCTGGCCCAGCTGCGTGAGATAAGTTCTGCATTCCCCTACACTGACACGGGGCTGTCCCATCTGCTTCAGCTCGCTCAAGGTAGTTTCCAACGCAGCATTAGTCTCATTTTGGAGACTCGGCAGAACCTGCAGGACGTGGGCAAATAGTAATTGGCTGATCCTGTTCACCAGATTGCTGATACCGAGCATTTCGGGAGCTAGCTGCTTGAAATGGGATTTGCGAAAGAACGCAGTCTCAGATGCATTACGCTCATAGAACGAAAACGATGTTTCCTCGAAGCTCCGGTTCTTAAGAACGTGCCAGCCCAGCTTGAAGTGTATATCCTGGTTGTTTGCCAGACTGATAAATGCTTCTTCCGACCCAGATCCCGGGGGTAGTCTATCTGGCTTGGTTATAATTCCCAGGGTACGCTCCCCTCTCTTGTCAAACTTCCTCACTTTGCTTAGGATTTCCTGGTTGGCATAGTCGTGGGTGGCGGAGATGACGGCAAGGCAGATCGTGCGAGACTGAGAAATGTAGTGCTCAGTGATATCGGAGACCAGGGCAACGTCGTCGTGAGACGTGTCCTTGGTTTCGGACTGAACTATCCCAGGAAGATCCACAACAGTGAGCTGTGGCCGCCGCGGACCTTCGATGGTAATGCTAAGCGTATCCTTAGCGAACGCACGGCGGGGACGACTCGCATCGGCGACTACGTCTATGCCCATCAGGTTCGTGGCCTTTGCCATTAGAGGGGGGGAGCTCATCGAAATCG